GAGAAATTAAAGGGATAATGGAGAATATTTAACACCTCCCCCCTACCCACCACCATACAATAAGCAATAAAAAACCAAAACAAAACCCTAGTGGATTTCTTCTTAGTTTTGTGGCCTTTTCTCTCAACCCATTTCATTATCCAATTTAGGGAAGCCCAAATGAGTCTTCTGGACCACCTTCTCCCAACTTCAACCTGGGCCTCCCCCTCTGCCCTCTTCCCTAACCCACAAGGAGAAGGGGTTTCTCTCCTTCTCTCTGGGAGGTGTGAGGGACCAGGCCTGTGGGGCTGAGAGGTGGGTAGGGGTCAAGTCTTTCTTCCACTCCTCCCATCATTTCTTTCACCTAAGAGAAGGGAACCCCCAAACAAGTTCCTCAATTCCTGGGGTTTATAATCCTGGCCCCTGGTGGAAAGAAGTTGCGAGAAACACAGGCTTCTCCTACCCACCAAGCTGTCTGGTACCAGGATGGGTTTGGAAAACGTATAAAAGAGATTCCAGCTCTGGTCAGTGGGGGCTCCGGGCCGGGTTTATTGCACTGCAACAGAGTTTAAATAAGTCCCGGGTGTCCCGAGCCGAGGGGAGGGGAGGGTTGGGCAAAGAGAGGAAGGGCAGCGTCAGTGCAGCTGGCGGGCAGAACCCAGATCCTGCAGGCCCGAGAGAGTGGGCTCCCCTTTCTCTGGGGGACCGGGAGGGCCTGCCTTTGGCCAGGCTGAGGTTCCAGATCTGTTGCCATCATGGCCCCTCCAGAGTCCTGGGCAATTCCTGACTTCTCCCGAGTCAGAGATGGATTGGGCCTCCCGGCCCAGGTGTCCGGTGCAGGTTCAAATGTTGTCCTGAATCTGCCTGGTTAGGTTATCAATGGCTGAGTCTGGGTCCCAGATCAACCCCAGGCCCCAGGTTCAATCTGGCCCCATGTGAGTTCGGATTCTCCTTGGAGCTGGTTCTGGGCCAGCATCGATCCTTGTTTGGAATCTGTCCTGAGCTGGTCCTGGGCACCATCCACAGTTAGTGTTCCTTATTTGCCCACCGAGGTGGGGACTGTCCAGAGCTGCCAGGGCTCACTCCCCAGGTTCCAGGTTCTTAGCCGGGGCTCCCGGTGGAACTCTGGCAAGGCTGTGGACATATCTCTGCAGGCTGGAGCTGGTGGCAAGTCCTGGTGGCAAGTCTGGCCCAGAGAACTGGGATTGGATTCCCCAGTTCTGGTTCCATTGTTTTCAGAGGAAACTCTCTCCAAAATGCAAAGGCTGCGGGGAGGCTAGGCCTCTGTCCCTGGATCTCAGTTCCCCCGTCCGTCCGTCCGTCCGTCCGTGGGGAGGGCATGTGTAAACGAGGGTCCTTCACAGTGCATGGGGGTGGGGATCCTCAGCTCCTCACCTCCCGGCTCTGGCCCTTCAAGTATGTCTCTGGGCTGGGAGAGGAGCGTCTCCCTGGCCCTCAGCACCTTCAGGAAGCACCCAGCCCCCTCCCCGTCAGTAGACTGAGGGTGGGGGGACTGAGCCTTCAGGATTGGAGTCTGGGAATAGGCGTCAGGCATCTGAGGTGGCTGGAGGCTTGAGCTGAGCTTTTTCCATGGCGGTGCCATAAGGGAGGGAGCGTTTGAAGAATCCGAGCTAATGATGGGGAAAGAAGGGAGAGTTTAGATACTGTGGCTCCCACTTCTCCCCAGATCTTATGCCCAGGGGCAACGAAGAGGACTCTCTAGTGCTTCCAATCTCCCTATCTTGCAAAAGTGGCCTAAATTCAGGCTGTCATGTCTACCTCTCCAAGAGGCCCAATGGGCCAGGAGGGCTAAAGCTGGGGGTGCTTTGGTATAAAGGGATCTTTCATCAGTGCCATAAAAGTAAGTGCCCCCGGGTGAGCCAGGAATAGAAAACAGGTTTGAATTAAAGTTCCAAGTTGGACTGCCTAGTATTGGCTGCCTCTGGAGGATTCTGAGGCCACTGCTTGGGTCTGACCAGTTAGTGACAGCTGCCATGGGTCTTTGGAGGAAGTGACAGCACAAATGCTAAACTTGCCCCCTTCGAGGAACACTGATTTTGCAAGTAGAGGCAAACTTATCAGGTTGATTCAAGAGACTCTAGGATAGGGGCTGAAGAATGAAGGGAAGGATCCTATAGGCAGTGTCAGGATGGGATGCATGTGGCCGGCGCACAGGTGGGGGCATGTGGCTAGAGAATTGGTTTGGAGGAAGATGCTTGGGATTGTGCTGGGTCAGGGGCAGAACCTGATGAGAGGGCAGGATGTGTCGGACCTTGTAGAGGATGTAGATGAGCAGACCGAGGAGCAGGAGGCCAATGAGGATGGCGAGGATAATAATCCACAGTGGGACACCGTGGCCGCCTTCTGCCTTGGTCCACTGCACAGCCGTGGCCACCTAGGGAGCAAGGCAGGAGAGGTCACTGAGAGGCCATTAGTCCTTCCCACCTACACTTGGCTCCCACTTGCCACGGGACCGAGACCCACCTCTCACCTCGCATCTTGAGCTAACAGAATTCTGAACTTAAAAATTTAAATTCTTAAAAAGTGCGTTATTGTCGCTGACTTTTGGGCCTTCACACTAGCTGGTTTCCTCTCTCCAAAGAATATTCCTTCCCTGAGTGGTTAGCCTGGTAGTTCAGGCCTCAGCTTAAACATCACTTCTTTCAGGAAGCCTTTCCTGACCCTGCAAGACTGTGTTCAAGTGTCCCTGTGATGTGACCCCATAAGTATTCTGGTCCTCTGCACACTGTATTCTTATTGCCTGTGAGGACGTGGACTCAGGAGTAAAGATGCCCTGTCCATCAGGCTTATCATTATATCCCTGAAACAGGATATAGTAGATGCTCAATAAATATTTGTTACAATCATAAGGCCACCCCCCATTGATGTCCCCATCCTAGCGCCTGGTCCAGCACTCTGAGCCTCATCTTCCTTGGCCCAGACCTCTGGCCCTGGACCCACCAGAAGTTCCTTTCGGGGAAGCTGCCGAGGCAGGATCCGGTAGGGCATCTTCAGAGCTTCGTACACAGCTTCACACTGCAGGCTAAATGGCTGGTGCTCTCGCTGTGGGTGGAGGAAAGGTGTTCAGGGCAGTCCCCCCACCCCTGTCCTTGGGATCTAGAGGACATACGGCTCCCCAGGGACTAGCTGGCTAATTAAAGTACAGGAAGTTCAAGTTCCCGTTTCTGAGCCTTAGCAGGCTCTTGCCCTCACTGCACTGATCTGGTTGGTTTGAAGGAAAGCTGTTTCTGCACCTGCCAAGATGCTCCAACTCAAGGGCACGAGAATCCTGGGGTTGCCAATGGCTTGAGCTTGTTCTGATCTAGAGGCCAGAGATCTCAGGGTACTGTGGCCCCGCTGTTCAAGTCTGGCCTCGGGGGAGAATGTGGGGTCTCTGAGCCCATCAGAGGAGGTCCTCTTGCTCTGGATCTGACCTCCCACTATGCCATCCAACCCTAGCATCACAACGCCTCCTTCTCCCCCCCCCCGCCCCACATCTACCCCTCCTTGTCTCTTCCCACTCTTCTCCTCCTGGGTGGACTCCTAGAAGCAGGCATGGCTAATTGGTGATAAAGACCCCTTTGCCTTGTCCACCTTCCCACACTGCCCTAGAGACTCTGAGTTAGGGAGGTCTCTGCAGGGGTGGCTTAGCTTACCAAGGGCAGGCAGCTGGTAAAGGGCGGGGTGACCTTGCAGGCAGCTGGGGGAGGGGGGGTGTAGTGTGTGGGGTGAATTCATTATTGATGAGCCCTGCACCCCGGGCTACTAATGAGCCCAGGCCGGCTGCTCTAATTGATGTCAAGAAACTTGAGACCCCCAGATCAGCTTCCCGCCTGCCAGCTGCCTCTCCTGGGCCCCCTCCCCCTCCCTGCACCCCCAGCTGCTCTGTTCCCTTCCCAGGGCCTCCTTTCCATCTCTACCAACAGACAAGGAAAGGGCCCAGGCCTCCCAGTCCCCCTCCCTAGTCCCCCTGGATCACTCAGGTCTCTATGGTGGAAGGCAGACAGAGCTGGAGGGGCTGGGAGGTTGGGAAGGGGAAGCAGACCAGAGCCTGAGAATGACAGTCCAGGGACAGAGTGGCTGGTGCTAGATTACATCTGCAGCGCTTCTGAGCCTAAGGAATTGCTTTCTTATATTGTGAGAGACCTTGTCATTCTCTGAGACTTGAAGCTACAGGCCCGACACAGACCCCTGACACCAACCCAGAACTCAAAGCCCATTTCCCCTCCTCATTTCCTTCTCAGATAGTGTAAGAAGTCTTAGATCTAGCCCATGAGGTTTCGCTGATGCCACTCCCACCCCTCCCCCAGGAGGGGGGAGTATGGAATTTCTTTCCTTGAGAATTCCCAGTGCCCTGCTATGCCACAGCTGCTATTCTTAGAAATGCTGGGTGGCTCTTTGCTTCTTCAGGTCTCTTCCCCACTAGTCCCTCTTCATTTATAGGTTCTGGGAAGAAGTTCCCGAGGGACAGAATTACCAAGAAGTCACAGATTGGAGAGTGGAGCAACCTTGGTCTTTCAGGAGGGCGGTTATGAGGTGATGCAGTCATTGCTATGCAGGGGCCCAAGGTAATAAGACTAGTCCTGGCCCTGGCGGGGTAGCTCTGTTAGAGCGTTGTCCCAGTACACCAAGGTTATGGGCTAGAGTTCCGGTCAGGGCACATACAAGCCAACGAATGCATAAATTAATGGAACAACAAATCGATGTCTCTCTCCCTTAAAAATAAGAGTCTTGGTGGTGTGGGAAGGTGAGATGGACCTCATAGCCTCCCTTCCCCAAATTTCCATAAATTTGTAGCTCTGCTGCCCTCTGGTGGCTGAATTCTGGTCTAGCATGACATGGACAATCCCATTAGATTTTAGCACCCCTCTCCTCTCTCTTGCTGCATGTTAGCACAGGCCTTAAGGAGGCAGAGGACCTTGAGGGGCTCCCTCACTTTCATTTCTCTTCAAAGGCCTGAACCTTATGGCATGTTGGTAATGGAGGAGGGCTTTCACAGTCCGACAAGGCTGAATTCGACTGCTCTGGCACTCACTGTGTGAGTTGGGCAAGTTACATAACCTCTCTGGACCTCAATTTCCTCTTGTGTAAATGAGGTTAATTGTACCTACTTCACAAGATTATTTGTAGAAATTAAAGGGATAATGGAGAATATTTAACACCTCCCCCCTACCCACCACCATACAATAAGCAATAAAAAACCAAAACAAAACCCTAGTGGATTTCTTCTTAGTTTTGTGGCCTTTTCTCTCAACCCATTTCATTATCCAATTTAGGGAAGCCCAAATGAGTCTTCTGGACCACCTTCTCCCAACTTCAACCTGGGCCTCCCCCTCTGCCCTCTTCCCTAACCCACAAGGAGAAGGGGTTTCTCTCCTTCTCTCTGGGAGGTGTGAGGGACCAGGCCTGTGGGGCTGAGAGGTGGGTAGGGGTCAAGTCTTTCTTCCACTCCTCCCATCATTTCTTTCACCTAAGAGAAGGGAACCCCCAAACAAGTTCCTCAATTCCTGGGGTTTATAATCCTGGCCCCTGGTGGAAAGAAGTTGCGAGAAACACAGGCTTCTCCTACCCACCAAGCTGTCTGGTACCAGGATGGGTTTGGAAAACGTATAAAAGAGATTCCAGCTCTGGTCAGTGGGGGCTCCGGGCCGGGTTTATTGCACTGCAACAGAGTTTAAATAAGTCCCGGGTGTCCCGAGCCGAGGGGAGGGGAGGGTTGGGCAAAGAGAGGAAGGGCAGCGTCAGTGCAGCTGGCGGGCAGAACCCAGATCCTGCAGGCCCGAGAGAGTGGGCTCCCCTTTCTCTGGGGGACCGGGAGGGCCTGCCTTTGGCCAGGCTGAGGTTCCAGATCTGTTGCCATCATGGCCCCTCCAGAGTCCTGGGCAATTCCTGACTTCTCCCGAGTCAGAGATGGATTGGGCCTCCCGGCCCAGGTGTCCGGTGCAGGTTCAAATGTTGTCCTGAATCTGCCTGGTTAGGTTATCAATGGCTGAGTCTGGGTCCCAGATCAACCCCAGGCCCCAGGTTCAATCTGGCCCCATGTGAGTTCGGATTCTCCTTGGAGCTGGTTCTGGGCCAGCATCGATCCTTGTTTGGAATCTGTCCTGAGCTGGTCCTGGGCACCATCCACAGTTAGTGTTCCTTATTTGCCCACCGAGGTGGGGACTGTCCAGAGCTGCCAGGGCTCACTCCCCAGGTTCCAGGTTCTTAGCCGGGGCTCCCGGTGGAACTCTGGCAAGGCTGTGGACATATCTCTGCAGGCTGGAGCTGGTGGCAAGTCCTGGTGGCAAGTCTGGCCCAGAGAACTGGGATTGGATTCCCCAGTTCTGGTTCCAAGTTGTTTTCAGGAAACTCTCTCCAAAATGCAAAGGCTGCGGGGAGGCTAGGCCTCTGTCCCTGGATCTCAGTTCCCCCGTCCGTCCGTCCGTCCGTCCGTGGGGAGGGCATGTGTAAACGAGGGTCCTTCACAGTGCATGGGGGTGGGGATCCTCAGCTCCTCACCTCCCGGCTCTGGCCCTTCAAGTATGTCTCTGGGCTGGGAGAGGAGCGTCTCCCTGGCCCTCAGCACCTTCAGGAAGCACCCAGCCCCCTCCCCGTCAGTAGACTGAGGGTGGGGGGACTGAGCCTTCAGGATTGGAGTCTGGGAATAGGCGTCAGGCATCTGAGGTGGCTGGAGGCTTGAGCTGAGCTTTTTCCATGGCGGTGCCATAAGGGAGGGAGCGTTTGAAGAATCCGAGCTTGTAGAGGATGTAGATGAGCAGACCGAGGAGCAGGAGGCCAATGAGGATGGCGAGGATAATAATCCACAGTGGGACACCGTGGCCGCCTTCTGCCTTGGTCCACTGCACAGCCGTGGCCACCTAGGGAGCAAGGCAGGAGAGGTCACTGAGAGGCCATTAGTCCTTCCCACCTACACTTGGCTCCCACTTGCCACGGGACCGAGACCCACCTCTCACCTCGCATCTTGAGCTAACAGAATTCTGAACTTAAAAATTTAAATTCTTAAAAAGTGCGTTATTGTCGCTGACTTTTGGGCCTTCACACTAGCTGGTTTCCTCTCTCCAAAGAATATTCCTTCCCTGAGTGGTTAGCCTGGTAGTTCAGGCCTCAGCTTAAACATCACTTCTTTCAGGAAGCCTTTCCTGACCCTGCAAGACTGTGTTCAAGTGTCCCTGTGATGTGACCCCATAAGTATTCTGGTCCTCTGCACACTGTATTCTTATTGCCTGTGAGGACGTGGACTCAGGAGTAAAGATGCCCTGTCCATCAGGCTTATCATTATATCCCTGAAACAGGATATAGTAGATGCTCAATAAATATTTGTTACAATCATAAGGCCACCCCCCATTGATGTCCCCATCCTAGCGCCTGGTCCAGCACTCTGAGCCTCATCTTCCTTGGCCCAGACCTCTGGCCCTGGACCCACCAGAAGTTCCTTTCGGGGAAGCTGCCGAGGCAGGATCCGGTAGGGCATCTTCAGAGCTTCGTACACAGCTTCACACTGCAGGCTAAATGGCTGGTGCTCTCGCTGTGGGTGGAGGAAAGGTGTTCAGGGCAGTCCCCCCACCCCTGTCCTTGGGATCTAGAGGACATACGGCTCCCCATGGTCTGGTTCAGGTTCTGATCTTTCTCTATTTTGGGCTCATTCTCTCCTGAATCTCTGTGTGGCCTTACCTGAGATAATAAATGTGTAACTGAATAGTTATAACTAAATAATACATATTTAGATGACTGCATGTAAAAAAGAATTTTAAAAATCATTATTAATGTGGGTTAAGCACCTAGGACAATACCTGGCCCATAGTGTGCACTTCATAAATGACTGCTCTTTATTTACTACTCTTACATCTGCTTGTCTCTCCACTAGAGATTCATCTTCCATCTCTGTTTTTCTATGTTCTCTGCACAAGAATCACTCTCCAGCCAAGGACACAGGTGTATTTAAAGGAGGTCAGGAGGGGAGGGGTATGCCTGGGTCCCTTTCCCAAAGGATGTAGCTAGGACAGTGAGGAAAGGGAGGGCCAGTCAGGCCCAAAGGTGGGGTTAGGGCTGAGGTAGAGCTCCCTTACCTGCCGGAAGGTCTTGGCCCGGACCCGGAAATGCAGTTGCA